TCCCTCCTCCTACGCCACCCTTCCCTTCGTCCGGCTCCTAGTTGTCAATCAGGCGCCAGGGCTGAGGCAGGACGAGGAGGAGGAGGAGGAGGCGGCGGCAGCGGGCGGAGAGACAGGCAGCTACGCCACAGCCCAGCGGCGGCCATTCGTGGAAAAATAGGCCGACCTGCTCCTCCCAGCTCCGGCAGCGACCGGCCTTCTCCCTGCTGCTTACCCCCAGCACCCCGCCCTCTGTCCCTCCCCTCCTCCTCCGAGCCGCGCCTCAGCGGGCGTTAATGCGGGATGAGCGGTACGTAACCCCCTCCTCCTTTCGTGTCCCTCCCGCCCCCGCCGCCCTCCGGGAGCCCCCGGAGCGCGCCTTCGCGGCTTCCCGCCCCTTACCACCTGGGAGCCTCCATTCCTTGTGGGTCCCCCTTTTCCCTTCGCCTGCTTACCCCTCCCTCCGTCCCTCCTCCTTTCCTCCCTCTTCCATTCCCCCTTTTCTTTTCCAGCCCTCCCTCCCGTGCACTTCCATCCCTCCTTCGTTTCTGTTTCCTCCCATTTTCCCCTCCCTCGCGCCTCCCTCCTCCTGCCCCTAAAGCATCCTGGGCCACTCAGTAGCTGTGGACGCTTTAGGGGCAGGAGGAGGAGGAGGGTTGTGGGTGGATCTCCCCCTCCTTTTCCAGTCCGAGACCAGAAAAACCAATCAAACCCACCCCTTTCTGGGTGTTTACTCGCCGGCCCCCGTAGGCCGGGTTTCAGACCACGTTTCTTAGGACTCCTTACCTCCTCCTCCCCCCAAACACACACTAATGACGGGGACTGGACAGTGGCTTTCGACCCGAACGAGGATAATGTCCTGATAGATTCCTTTTTGAGCTAGTAAATACAAGTGACCGTGCTTAATGGGGTTTATTTTTGCAGATCAAATGAAAGAGGAAGCTATGCCCTCAGAAGGAGAGAAATCTCCTGAAGCTGAGAACAACAAGAAAAGCAAAAGTGGAGCTTCTCAGGTAAAATTTGTAGGAGATATGGAAGTTGCCAATTACAGAAACTGGCCGAATTACTTTCATTTTAAGAGACGTCTCTATACCGCTTTGTCAGTGGGTGACCACAAATCTTAACTGTCAGAACATATTTGGGGAGGGGTTGGGGTTTCATGTGTTCAGCAAACTTTGCTATGGAGGCCTGTGGAAAGTGCAGTGGAAAATGAAAGGCTTGGCTGCAGTAAATGGCTTTATGCCTTATTCATTGGATAGCTAATAGCTTCATAGATAGTAGGTTATTCATATCATGTGTTGAGCTGTCTGCTTCCTTGCAATTCTAATATTCATACTATGGTTTACCAATCCTAATCTCCTAATATGCACTGCATTTTTATTAGGATTCTCAACCTTCTCCCCTGGCTCTGCTGGCAGCAACTTGCAGCAAAATAGGAACTCCTGGTGAGAATCAAGCGACCGGACAACAGATTATAATAGATCCAAGTCAAGGTTTGGTGCAGCTTCAGAATCAACCACAACAATTAGAATTGGTAACAACTCAGCTTGCTGGTAATGCCTGGCAGCTTGTCGCAGCTGCTGCTGCTCCTGCTTCAAAAGAGAACAATGTCCAACAAGCATCTTCTTCTGTTGCTTCAAGTGCAGCAAGTCCCTCCAACAGCAACAACGGAAATGCATCTCCTTCAAAAACGAAACCAAGCAATTCTTCTGGAGTAACTCCAGGACAGTTTCAAGTTATACAAGTACAGAATCCAGGTGGTAGTGTTCAGTATCAAGTAATTCCACAGATTCAGACGACGGAAGGTCAACAAATTCAGATAAATCCTGCTAATACCACAGCTCTGCAAGATTTACAGGGTCAGATTCAGCTCATCCCTGCAGGAAATAATCAGGCTATCCTTACAACTACAAATAGGACAGCTTCGGGGAATATTATTGCTCAAAACTTGGCAAATCAAACAGTGCCAGTCCAAATTAGGCCTGGTGTTTCTATTCCATTGCAGCTGCCAATTGCTGGTGCTCAGGCACAAGTTGTAACATCATTGCCTATAAACATTGGAGGAGTGACTCTAGCGTTACCTGTAATAAATGTTGCTGCAGGTAGTAGTTCTGGGCAGGTTACTCAACCCGCTGATAGTGGAGTTTCCAATGGAAATCAGCTTTTGTCAACACCTGTCACAACATCTTCTGTTAGTACCATGCCAGATTCTCCTTCTTCCACATGTACAACCACTGCCACCACTTCACTAACAAGCAGTGAAACATTAGTAAGCACTGCAGAAACAGGCCAGTATGCAAGCACAGCAAACAGTTCCGAGTCTAGTACTGAAGAACCTCAGACAACTGCATCAGAAACAGAGGCTCAGAACTCCAGTCAGCTTCAGTCTAATGGATTGCAAAATGTGCAGGATCAGTCAAATTCACTGCAGCAGGTGCAAATAGTAGGTCAACCTATTTTACAGCAGATTCAAATTCAACAGCCACAGCAGCAGATCATTCAGGCTATTTCCCCACAGTCTTTTCAGCTTCAGTCAGGACAAACTATTCAGACTATTCAGCAGCAGTCTTTGCAAAATGTTCAACTACAAGCAATGAGTCCAACCCAAGTACTCATAAGAGCACCAACTTTAACCCCATCAGGGCAAATCAGCTGGCAGACAGTGCAGGTCCAGAATCTTCAAAGCCTTTCAAATCTCCAAGTTCAAAATGCAGGGTTGCCCCAGCAACTGACCATTACTCCTGTGTCTTCAAGTGGTGGTACCATAGCTCAGATTGCACCAGTAGCTGTTGCAGGTACACCGATAACTCTAAATGCTGCTCAGATTGCTTCAGTGCCTAATCTTCAGACAGTAAGTGTAGCCAATTTGGGGGCTGCTGGTGTTCAAGTACAAGGAGTTCCAGTCACCATTACAAGTGTTGCAGGTAAGTTGCCTATCAAGGCTTTTATTTATTTATTTTTACTAATGTGTATATAGGTATATGTACCTTTAGGTATGTCAACAAAATAGTATTTTCCACACTATATGCACAAAATGTTAATGCTCCTTAGTAATCACTGGCTCTTCCTGCCTTGGAATGCACTGAATGTGGGCCCAGAGGGGTCCTTGCCAGCAGAAGTGACAGTAGGGTAGTGTGAAGAGCCATGCTGTGAATGGCAATGCCTGGAAAGTCCCAATAGGTGTATGGAATGTCACCTGTGACTGTGGTTCCATGTCTTTAATAAATTAGACTTCACAGTTTGCATTGCTACAATTGCTGCAAGTTACCTGATAGTATAATGTCTGTCAAAAGGCCCCATTATGCCTTTTGACAGACTTTATCACTGGTAACTCCTAACACTTAACATTGTAGATGTTATTTGTGAATGAATTAACAAATAACCATGCAACTTCAGCCACTACATTAGTATTTATTATAATTCCTGAGTTAGATTATAAATTCATCATGCAGTGGTCTAATAGACTGTTGTTTGAATTAATACATGCACAGCATATGTTTTCATCTAATGCGGTTCTGATTCTAGGAGCCTGGAATTCAGTATGCAAACTAACTGCTTATTTGATTCTCCGTGGCAAAATTGCAAACTCTTTTTCTAAAGCTTGCAGAACAGAAACATGACATATCTTGAAAGATATTAATGCACATGAAAGAAAAAGTATTGTCAGAATTGTTTAGACTTGTACATGGCATAGCTTGTACATGGAAATATACTTACTTTAATTCTGTATATTTTTATTTCATTATTACGTTAAAAAGAACTATCATAATTAAGAATAATTCCACTATTTAACAAAATATTAATAAAATCAAATGAACTTATTTTAAAATGGGACATTTAAGATATTGGTTGAAATTCTCTTGCATAATTTTGCGAGTGCAATGGGAATAACAATTAGTGAGAAATTATCACTGATCAAAGGCTTCTTCTTTTTTAGCAGTTTTAAGGTGAATGGCTCATACATGACCAAAGTTGCATATACTGCAAAATGCCAAAAGAAATCCTTTAACCAATAGTAGTCTGTAATTGCCCATGACAACATTCCTGTTGAGCAGGTGGATCCCACCCAACAGAGTTTTAAATAATTGTTGGCTTCCTTTTCCTCTGACCAAAAATCAATACTTCGGGGGAATAGGCATTTTTCTTATCACCTGGAATGTAGACAACAAAGAGATGTTGGTAGAAAAATTGTTTCTTTCCTTTGATGAAGGAATACATCTGGTTGAGGCGGAACTAACAAGTCTTCCAGTGTGGGGGAGGTGCAGTGAACGTCATGTTTCTGTTTCTCTCTTAAGAATATTCTGAGGCAGTGTTTCCTCATCATCTTCCTCTTCACATGTGGTAATAAAGACTTGTGATTTAATAGCACAGATAATTTGTTTTGTCTGCATCAAGCATTCATAGTTCACTATCAAATTCACATCATAAGACAGAACCGAAGCAAGGATGAAGTATGTTAGCTGAAGCTGTGCCATGGTTTACTGTTTCAGAGTGATTGCTTCCTCCTTGTGCATCTTTCATATAGATGACATATTTTATTGACCTCAGGCCCAACATTTAACCAGTTAACTTTCTGAGATGTATATGTTGCAGTTCTTTAGCCTGTCAAAAGATATGACAATGGGCAATATTGGAGGTACTGAGGGCCTGTTTTGATTTTTGCCCACAGCACAGGGCACCGCTCACCTACTAGGCTTCTGGTGGGAGAAAGCTGAAAAAGAGAGAGAGATACGGACATTGTGATCCAGACTTTTCAGTGTGACCTTTTAATATTCTAATTTAATTAGCATTATTAAAAAAATTCTGTCTTTATTTTGGTTTAAAATTGCTTTTCTGCCATGCTACATTCCTGAAGCAGAAGGGTGAGGGGCGGTTGCTAACTTCTGTGCGTTCTGCCTAAAATGCCTCCTTCCCAGTTCCCCCCTCACATGGCTGGGACTCCAAGAGACAAGAAAATGAGGACAGCAGTTTTGTGGGGGAAATGTATGTGAACTTGCAATTGGACTTTTCATCAACTTCTGCACTAAATGTCATTGGTTGTGTTTCAATGCCTTTCATTCTGCCTTGTCACATCTTGCTTGGCCCAAGAGTTAGGGTTGGAAAAAAAATCTTTAAAAATGACCTCTCTCACTTTGCCCCCTCAGTTAAATCAGTAGTTAGTTGTATTTATCTGGTACTTCGCTGAACATGACATGTGCAAGTTATAGCAAATGTGTCTTCATTCAGTTATTCCTCCTTTCTGGAGCCTTCTCTCTGCTGTAATTATGCAAACAATAAACAGATGATAATAACTTGGATGTAGTGGCAATCATAAGTTTTACACACACAAAGTTATCAAATTCTTTTTAACTGTAAATAGGTGCCTTCTCATTTCACTAAACTTAAATAAAACATAACAAACTTTCTTCTATGTAAAGCATATTTGTTGACATAAGCTACTGTATAAATATTGTTTATTTTATTTATAGTATTTATATTTAGCAAAAAAAGCCTTTAGAATGGTGTACAACAGCGGTCCCCAACCTTTTTCAGTCATACTGGCTCCCGTGCGCATTTGCCAACGGCAGTGCGGCACTCTCACAGGGGGCGGTCTCTTGTGCGCATGTGCAAATGGCACATGGCACTCGCACAGGCGTCCTGGAGCGGACGCGCAGACACAAATGGGCTGTGCAGGAGTGAGTGCGTGCAGGGGTGGGGGGGAGGTCTGTCTCGGCAGCCTGGTCCGGCTCAGGCCATGGACTGGCACCGGGCCGTGGACTTGGGGTTGGGGATCTCTGGTCTACAAGATAAGCAGCATGGTAATTACCTACAAGAAGCCACTGCAGGTTGCACTGTAACTATGTAACAAGATTTTTACTATAGAATGTAGTGTAGAATATTAGTCATGTTTAGGATACTGATATCAAAGGGACAATTTATTTTATTTATTTAATTTGTTTATTTATTTATTTATTTGATTTATACCCCGCCCATCTGGCCTAAAAAGCCACTCTAGGCGGCTTCCAGTGAATAAACAATAAAATAATACAAAAAGTTACATAAATCATATTATAGCATACGCAATACAAAAATAGAGCAGAAAATAAATAAAAAGAGAACAAGAGAGGATCAGATGTTAGCTGGAGGGAAGGCCTGAATATATAGCCATTTTTAAGTGACTTTTAAAAGTGCCCAAAGTGGGGACTGCGCGGATCTCAGGAGGGAGATTATTCCAGAGGCGAGGAGCCACCACCGAGAAGGCCCGGTTTCGTGTCTTTTCCTTTCGGGCCTCTCTCAGCGTCAGGCTCCTCAGCCTCACCTCCTGGCTTACACGGGTGATCGGGGTAGATCTTGGTGGGACCAGGCGTTCCGCCAAATATCAAGGTCCTAAACCGTGTAGGGCCTTATAAGTGAGCATTAAAACTTTAAAGTCGATGCGGAAACGAATGGGCATCCAGTGCAGCATGGCCAGCGTGGGAAAAATATGCTGGTATTTTCTCACTCCACTGAGGAGTCTGGCCGCTGCATTCTGCACCACTTGAAGTTTCCGCATCAGCCTCAAAGGCAGCCCCACGTAGAGCGTGTTACAGTGGTCTAATCTTGAGATTACGAGCGCGCGGACCAAGGTAGTGAGTGCCCCCGTGTCAAGATAGGGCCGCAGCTGGGCGATCCGCCAAAGGTGGAAAAAGGCGGTGCGGACTACCGACACCACCTGTGTTTCCATGGTGAGCGTCAGGTCCAAATGTACCCACAGGCTGCGGACCCCACTCTTCGCGGCCAGGGTCACCCCTCCCAAATGTGAGTCACCCATGCCGCTGACCACGGGGCCACCCACCCTCAGAACTTCTGTCTTGTCCGGGTTCAGCCTCAGCCCATTTTCCCGCATCCAGGCAGCACTGAAGGGGCAGGACGGGATCACCTGCAGTTGGTGAAAAGGGGATGTAGAGCTGGGTGTCATCAGCATATTGATGACACGATGCTCCACACCCCCTGATGACCCCACCCAGCGGCCTCATATAGATGTTAAACAGCATTGGGGAGATAATCGACCCCTGTGAAACCCCACAATTGAGACTCCACAGGGCCGAAACATTGTCCCCAAGCTGCACTCTCTGGGGCCGGTCCCCCAAGAAGAAACGGAGCCAGGCAAGTGCCAAGCCACCAATTCCTAACTCAAATAACCTCCCCAGGAGGATACCGTGACTGACGGTATTGAAGGCCGCCGAGATGTCAAGGAGGACCAACAGAGACATTTTGCCCCTATCAGCCTCCCTCAACAAGTCATCATACAGAGCGACCAATGCCGTCTCTTTGCCGTGGCGCGGCCTGAAGCCCGACTGAAACGGATCCAGGGCATCTGTTTCATCCAAGTGGGCCTGAAGCTGGTCGGCCACCACCCTCTCCACCACTTTGTTCATGAAAGAAACATTGGCGATGGGCCTATAATTGCCAATTTCGTCCGCCGCCAACTTAGGTTTCTTTCTTAGGGGCCTAATGAGTGTCTCCTTGAGGGCAGAGGGAAACCTCCCCACAAGGAAAGACTCATTTATTATTGCAGTGGCCCATTTTGTTGTTATCGGCCTGGCTGCTTTGATTAGCCAGGCTGGGCAAAGGTCCAAGGAGGAGGTGGTGGCTCTACAGCGGTCAAGCACTCTGGCCACAGAATCAGGCGTGACAGGCTGAAAGGAGTCAAGGGATACCGGGCAAGACGGAGCGCTGGACATCTCTGCTCGACTCACTGTGTTCAAAAAAGGAGAGAGGTCCCGTCGAATGGCCTCCACTTTAGATTTTAAAAAGGCTGCAAACTGGTCAGGTGAAAACTAGGGGGAGGCCTAGTTTTTAATAATATAATAATAATATAAACTAATAATATAACAATAATATGCCGTCAAGTCAATCTGACTTACGGTGACCATTTTCAGAGTTTTCTAGGAAGACAGTACTC